AGGAAAAACAAACCCATTATTTCGAAGTTAAAAATGTACGGATGGAGTGATTTAATAAACTTGCTGCTCTCGATGGATTTTTATAATGACAAATAATGTCTGGTAAATATACCAGAATTTTGAGATTCAAAATATGTTCAAAACGAATTTTATATGAAATAGGTACGCATGTGTTTTACAGTTAGTTTTATATGTTCTACAGCTCAGTACACTGTACTTTGGCGCGGCTGCAATTTACGATTTTCAGGATCAGCGTTTTACAATGAAAATTCGACCAAGCACGTGCTCCAGCTTTCAACAACAGCAGTTGTTCCTAACGAACTATCCAAGTTCGTTAATTCATTGTTTGTGGCTTGATCTCAATTCGCAAATTCTCAAACATGTGAGAAGACTGGCAGTGTTTAACAAAGATTTTACGATAACAATGTGAACTCTTGTTTGTTACTTGCTCGAGAAAAACCACTTTTAATATAATATTTCTGCAATTGTATCTCAAAATCGATTCGAATTTTGCTGGAAATTTCAAAGTTTTCCCTAGAAATGACAGCTATCAGAATTTTAATTTCTTTTATTTCTCTCGAGTAGTATCATAGATCATAAAATAAAAATTATTATTTAATCTAACATATTTAAACAATATATGTTCTTTAAAAATTCCATATCTGTAAATAACTAACGCAAAAAGCTCCCATTGTGCATTTTATCGGAAAAATCTTTACCTCCTATGTTCTAGAGAACGTTAACGAAACTAATAATCTCGTTTACAACTCTGTTTGTGTTCTATTTAATTTTTGCCTGACAGCCTCATTAAGCTTGCGTTACCATCGAAAACCTGCAGGAACGTAAAAACGGTGACAAGTGCGATGACCATTTAAAGCCAACAGAGCTCTCTAACTCTAAAGTTGTAGAACGCGCTCGGGTTACGATAACTATACCCCTGTCCGATAATCAGGAGGCACGACCGGCAAATTTGCACCTCCGTGTTGCTTCTTGCGGTCGTACATTGCAGTTCAATAGCGGTGCTTCCCGATGTTCGATAACGGCTCGCTAGATAACAGATGGCCTTGAACCTTGTTGTGCCAGTTTGTATCTTACTTCACGTTACACCGAAGACAAAGGTTATCGTTGGTCATGCAATTAGTTAAGATTATCATTCACGTGGAATATTTGGGCAAAATCCTGCCTGTCTCTCTGTTTTTATAATTTAATTTAATCTATGTTTTAACTTTGTAGATTATAGACAAATCTCGATTTATCGAATATCGAATATCGATTATTAACTTTCTTATAATTTAGTTTAATCTGATCTACGTCTTGACGTTTATAAGCAGATGTGAATTACTGCATAATTGGTATGACAACTGTATTGTAATATCGTTGGTTTTATTTGAACTTCGCAGATAAAAGTTTATTCTGATATACCTTTCTGCAAAATTTTGCGTAGCATTTTAAAGTGATATAAGAATTTAGTGAGAATCTGGAATTAAGCGATTTGGAACTGGTAAAATATTTATAAGATGTCTTTAAAATCTTGGAAATTAATTTTACTATAGAGGAATAAAAAATGAAAGAATGAGGAAGTCTTGTGGGTGTAATGTTATGCAATTAGTTAAATACTACTTTATACGTTTCTGAAGATGAATGTCGTTCGTGATAGATAGGCAACATGTCAAATATTATTAAGATCGTGCAAATTTTATTATAGAGAAATTGCAGCGCGTAAAAAATAATGAACAAATACAAAAAGGAAAGTTTAAGAAAGTTCGAACAAGTTCATTTGAAATTAACTAGCTTTAACCGCTAATTATAATGGTTCTCGCGGCGCTTCACAAACTTTTTGACTCCCCGGAGTCCCTGATAGCGTTTATATTAAACTTGCTGACGTAAAAAATTGCAAATTATTGCAAGCTCATTTATGTAATATTAAAAGTACGCATAATGTAATTGTGTTAACAGAATGATAAAATATCCATGAATATTCGAATATGCCTTCGACTGTAAGTTTATTAATAAAATAAAACGATTTAACTTACATTGATATTTAAAAATCAAGTTTCAAAGATTATCATTGTATAAATTTTTTGCACTAGTAAAGTTATTGAATTGATTCTTTTTTAATATATTAAAACGCTTATTGTAATTAGTAGAAACATAAATTTTATTTATTTAAAGCACATATTTTTTCACAATAAACGACAAACCAAATAATGACAAAATTTGACGTCATAAAGATATTAGGACAATAATCAAGTTACAAATTAATACAAATCGACTTACAAACAATTTCCCGAATAATTTCTCAAGCATCTCAACCTAAAGCAAAACACAATGCATAACTACCAGCACTGTGGCTCGTTGATAATTGGCATCGCCGCAATTCAGACTAATTTAGCGACGAACAGAGATATTTTCATTCAAAGTTGGCCCGCATGAATAGTCGATTGTCTCGTACTATTCCATTGTTCTCGTGACGCGATCGTCCACAAGCCTTTCCGCACTCGCATCAGCGCACAATCAGAGAAAGAGTAAGATAGCTCGAGCCAGAAAGCAAGAAGAGTGGAGGAATAGAAGGGTTTGCGTAAAAGGTGTCGAGGGATGAGAGTGATGCCGCTTAGAAAAAGGGTTGTACTCCAAAGAACGCGATACATAACTTACGAACACACTGTTGGTCCACTGTGTCCCTTCTATAGTCGCAGTTATACTTATATATACATATATATACGCGCGCGTGCGCGTGTTTGTGTGTGTTGTCACCTTCGTGACGCCAATGAACCACCCCTTTTAAGGCTCGCCCCTATATGCCTCGCGCGCGTTTAGATAACAACCGCGCCGTGGTTATACACAGTCTCGTAACTACAGTTTCGCGTACACATAAGTACAGTTCCATCTAACCTTACCCTCCTCTCTTGTCATCGGGTATGTTGGATTTCGACCAACCACAGACGGCCGAACCCTTCGTTCTCTCTCTTCGAGCTCCTTACGCTGCTTCTCGTTTCTTCCACAGACATCGACGCATTTCGTCGATTCTTCCTGCCTTATATCGTGTGGCTATGGAAACCGCCGACGGATTCAAAGGGCTGCAAAGAACCAGAAGAAAACCGGAAACGCGCCATTCACTTAGGGAGCGCGGTTACGACCACACAATCTCACGTACGTTTCCATGAACGTGCAGTAAGATTCGAATGCCCGTGCTACAGGGGATTGTGCGTGTATGAAGTTGTACTACGTGGCGATTGTATCGTGGTTATTTTATAGGTGTCTAGATATTTTGAAATTACATGTGATTTTAGGTTTCGTTATTGATGAAGTTTCCTATGTATGTGTTCCATTATATTTACTAAAAAAGATCTTAGTATGTAACAACTGGTATTTGGATTCGTAATTTGACAATTCTTTTTTCTGCATTGAAAATTCTTCGAATTATAGTAAATATGGAAAATACTATTTGTACACGACAAATTAAGTAATTAAGTCCAAGTATATTAAATTTCGTATCATTTAGTAGTACTTGTATATGGCTCCTCCAGAAATGTTCATTCTGTGAAACACAATATTAAAAAATATAAACACTTATTTTTCTAATAAATAAAATATAAGTACATAGTATAATTTTTGCTTATTTTTTGTTGGATTATCTGACAAATAATTTCGTAAAATTCTTACTGCAATTGCAGAAACAATGTACTTCCTGTCATTAAAATTTTCTCCGTATCCATATAAATTGCACCCATGAAATTACATCCACCCGCAATGGTATAACGTCCAACTGATTCGCGCATTTTTTTCCTGCAGCGACAGAATTGATGGACTGCTTTCCATTCATCCAAGCCAATGATAAACCGTCGTAAATCAATCTTCCTTTTATCGTCAGCTTTCGTTCATTTTCCTGTGTGTATCGATTTACTCACAGTCGCTGCCCGATTGACCCCATATTCTCTTTTGTTACATCTATCTGCCCTAGCCTTTGTGCTTCGTGACTATTTCAACCAGGTTGCCACGCTCGCGCGACAGCTAATAACATAGCAGTTGTTGGCCGCTTTTGCAACTGACAGTTCCAGGTTTGTCAAAAAGTCCCTTTGTTCCATATAACTTTTCCTACGATTGTCTATTATTCTTTGCGCCGAAGTTGATACATTCAGAATTTCATTACAGGCACATCAGTAGAGCTCTATTTAATAATTAAACGAAATCACAGTATAAATATTATACGAAGATTGAGATAATAAAACATTCCTCTGGATAGAAGAATTTGAATTAGCCAAACATTCCCTAGATCTACCAAATTAAAATTGCGCGAACACCTAACGTAGGAATTTCCCAATAAATCCGCCAATTGCCACTGGTCCTCACCAGTGTACTTGCAATTTACCTAACAGCCCATTCAACTTCTTTCGCAATATCGTTCTCGTGTTTCAACCGGGTTGCCATTCACCAACGGAACGAAACGAACGAGCGAAATCACGCTCGACGAGCCAGTTTCCCGCAATTTCGGAGCTCTATTCGAACCCGAAAAGGCGCGGCTCCCTGTCTCTCGACAATTTCACGGTCGGCGCGAATAAAGCTGGCTGGTTCGTCCCGCGCGCGCCTTAAATCCAAATTAAAAGGGTCCCCGCGGTTCGTTTCGTGGTTAGGTGCAAAACTTTTTAATCATGCAACGCAATGGCCTCTGCAATGGTCGACAAGTTTCGCCGAAGTCTCGAACGGTGGCCGCGGGAAAATTAGTTCGGCCTGATTAAAGCGGCCACATGATACAGCGTTGCAATTAAAAGTGTCATGAAAAATGCATAGCCAGCGTTAATTATCGTTCGGTGGAGTGCGCGCGCGACGAGTCGCGCATATCAGGAATTCAATAATATCTATGCTCGCGGCGACAGCTCAACGCGAAAACGCGAGCGTGATGTTGCACGTGGCTACTACGGAACCTGTCGATATCGATTGCATCGTAAACCTGTCCACCGCGAACTCATCTAATAAAGGACCATTCGTCTTTGGTGTTTTAGTGTCACGCGTCTGCGGGGATTGCCGCCACTTACGTCGACGAGGAATCTTCGAGTCAGCGATCAGGAGCGACATATTGATGTGCCGGCGATCGATCCACGGACCAAGTGACGAGGCACCGACGCGCCGCCAAGAAAATCTCCACAGACGTGAGTAAATCTGTTCTAACCCTCTGTAAAATTGAATTCTGTTCGTTGATGGAACATGTGTGGATTTATATTTGGGTCGATTTCATGCTTCTTTGCTCTTTGACGCTGTTTCGTGCGTTGACTGGAGGATTAGGCTAGGGTTACGATAGATACGTGGCCTGAGGAACTGTCGTTATGAATGCGTCAGAACAGTTAGATACGTAAATTCTTATGAGAATGTGCATTTCGGTCATCAGATATTCCATTCGTCAGAATACTGTAATTGTATTGTAGTCTTGAGAAAGGCGTGTTACCATTATAATTATGAGAGTTATGATATTTTTTTAACTGAAGAACAGTTGAAATGTTTTATAATTTGATGCGTGACAAAATGACATAATAGGCGACGTATATTCTTTTATTATCTATAATAATTTCATCGTTCGTCACCGTAATATACAATCGTACAAAATTACGATCTACAATTATTAAAATATAAATTGCAAATAAATATTGCAAACACCGACGAAATGATTTACTCTCAAGAAATAAATGGAATTTCCTTTTTACTTCTTTAGTAGCGAATTTGTACCAAAGAGCAATAGAAATAACTGCTATTAAGTTAACGAGTCCATTTAGCGCGTAATCAACGCGAACTATACTTTCTTTCCCAATAAACTTGATGAACCATTTTAATTAATTCCTTCCCTTGGTAACCGTATAATTTTTCGATTAATTCGGCCATCCTACACGACTAGCCACCCTACAAAAATTAACCTACGAAATTTTAAATTTTAAATTTCCAAACTCAATTACCAAATCCAATCAGTTTGTGTCGCTATACACATATTACTTTTCCTACGGTGATTATGCGACTATGTGACTAATTCTTTACGTTTACCTCGGAACAAGCATAATAGATAGTGTGGAAAATTGATAAGCTTCTATTATATGAACTTAAATTGTACAATATAAGCTGTTTGTTCGTCGATGAGTTCGGATAAACGGAGTTCTATTGTATTCTCTTGAAACAAAACGGCTGCCAATGAAACAAAATGGTACCAGTGTAAGGAACAGGGAAAGAAATGGACTGTTAAGGGTTGATTACATTACTTGGTATAGGCACAAACGTGGCTACGACACGACCAAAATTACTGGGCAAGTTGCGGTGCACCGCGGCGTGTTCTCTTTCGCACTTGCATTCAAATTCATAACTGTGTGCCACGGCCATCACGGCACGGTTTCAACGCAAAATAGAAACGTATAACGAATGACGGAATTACCAGAAAGTGGAATTATATTGGGGCTATCGTGGAGCTCCAGAGTCCCACGGGAACGATACTTGTATTTTTAGTGCGAATCGATATTACCATACCCTAGCAGACCGAAGCTCGAGGTGAAATTTAAATTTACGGGAGAAGAATGAACCCGCTCAGATTATTACCTGCGCGTCAAGACGATCAAGGAGTTACTCATTTGCTATCCTTTTAATAGCAATTGAATATCGATTGAAATAATTGTGGAATTGATTGGTTTTATCTTGATGAATTTAAACATCGAATTATCAATTATATTTTCAGCATAATGCTTCAAGCAGATCAAATACGTATAAAATGTATTTACGTGTATCTTTATTTTCCAGTACAGTGCTTCTTTATTAGGTTCTATATTTCTTCCTCCTACGCTTCTTATCTTCGTCAAATTTTCAAATCTATCAAATTTCAAACCGGTATCAGTAAAGTATCAAATTTTCGTAATCATGATAATTCGTAATAATTTCCAGATGTATTAAAACGATCAAAATACGGCATTAAAATTAATTATTATTGTTATTATATAATTACATGCGGTTGTCAAATCACGAAATCCAAAGAATCCAAGAAATCCTAATCGCAATTCCATTTGATAAAATTGAAGCTCGTTTCACATAGATGCTGCTTTGATGCATCAATGTATTAGTTTGGACTGTTGAAAATAGCATTAGAATATCAGATGATCCTTTGGCCGCAGAGTGGAGGACGCGCCATTTGCACTCGTGCCTGCACACGGCTGCGTTCAAAACGCAACAGTGTGATTGCGAAACCTAGAGAAACGCTAACGGGTGTCAGTGGGTGACTTGTGGATACGGCGAACATCCCACGTGCACGTTTATTTCCCCGTTATGTTGATTACAATCCCGTCGTGTTCATACATCGGTGGCGAACGTATGACCGATAACGCATCTGCTGATCCTAAAGGCACACGTTTGCCACGTTGCCTATTTATTCAATCCCAATGCCGTAAATTTCGCCTGCAACGAATGCCTCCTTCCGCCCTATCGTACGGGGTGTGCGTATTATTCTGTCAATGCTGTTACGCGGACGCAAAGGATGCGGTTTCTGTCGGGCATAGACCGCGTTCAAGTAAAGCAAAGTTGGTCATCATCAGTGGAAATTGGATGCATCGAATAGAGTTTGCAGAGCTACGGCCACAATGACGCACAGTCCGTGAACGTTATTTACTGACTTGGCTAAACGCGTAATAATGCCCTCCCTGTAGGATGTACAGGGTGGATGTAGAGAAGAAGTTTTTTCTTGAATGATTTAGAGTTTTAGTATTTTAATATTGCGAAAAAGTTTTCGTATTGATTCATTTCTATCTCAGTTTTTTTCTTCTAAAAGGGTTTCGTTTAATCGTTTCAAATCAACCCATTAAAAACCAGGAAATAGTTTATCATAACGCCGCAAATGCTTCAATACGTTTAAATTTCATAGAATCGTGGAATCCAAATATTGAAAGATACAACGGTAAGAAAATATTCAACGAAATCTTGGAATTTCAGAATCACAATTTTAAAGACACGCAATTCGATAGCGTAGATTGATCGAACAAGATTGCAATTGAAATGTTACGAATAAAACGAAAAGGAATTTTTTAACGAAACTTCAAAACTTTTTGCATTTCTTCAAAAGAAATATACATTTTCTACTGTTCGCTGTTTAATTTTAGTAAATATATTATTCGTAATAATAACAAAGATATACAATGTGTTGCGGCAGATGTCTTCGACCATTTATACGAATCTCTCTCGAATTTCAGGCATCAAAGATGCAGTACGCAAAAATCAGACGATTAATTGATAAACAAAAAGAGTAAAAAGTCAGGAGAATAAAAGAGAAAACGAGGTGCACTGACGCGTTGATCACGAAATAGAGAATGTAGCTAGGACTGAAAGGGAATATCCAGTGACCCTGTTTTAGACCTCTTTTCATACGTAGCAACATGGTTGAAACGAAACTGGAATACACCCCCGCGGAAATACGTCAGTGGGTAAATGGGTCCGCGAGTTTCCCTTGAAAAATATACGACTATGTGAAATCGACATAATGGCCAACTGATGGAGCCCGTTAATCGTGATTATTCCGTCCTGGTGCTGTACATATATCGACCTTACAGCCAGCCGATAGCTGGAGTTAATTGCGATTATTTCGTACTGCTACAGATCATCCACATCGTGGTTAGTTGATAGCCGCAGCTAATAGCGATTACGTGCCCCTACGTGCTGGTATCGATCGCAATTCGTTTCATTTCACTGCCACCAAACCTGCTGACTACGTTTCGGCGGCAGTTACCGATAGAATTGGGATAAGTGGTCCGAAGATTGGCTACATTGCGCGAATTTCAGCGATACGTTATCGTACGTTGACTTAGAATATAGAACGTAACTTTCCTATACTACGAACATATACCTTCGTCAATGGTCACAATTTTGGGAACTCTATGTATTTCATAATTATAGAATGTACAAGAAGAACGGTTCCTCGAACAAGAAAAGAGAAGAGTACTATTCCAGAGAAGTAGTAAACTTTGTAGATTTAACGTACTAGAAGTTAATTTTGGATCTGAAATGGTAGAAGTTTTTTATAGGTCAGAGATTTTGAGTTTATACAGATAGATTCTCGTCGTTCTTCGACACGGTTCCGTTCGTTATACGATGCCAGTTACTGCAAATACGTTTCCGTGGAAATCAATCTAGGAAAGCTCGGGTTCCACAAGAATTATTGGAACATAAAGATAGGTATCATTCGTAAATCAGGTCAAATACATCATACGATCTCCGCGAAATCCTTCCTCGTTTTACGCTATCGAATTCGTTGTGGAATCGAATTCTATCCATAATAAAACCTGTTTTCATATATGTATATATATATATATATATGTACATATATGTATATATGTATCATATATGTATATATGTATGTATATATATGTACACACACACACACACACACACACACACACGCACGCACGCACGCACGCACGCACGCACACACACACACACACATATATATATACATATATACCAGGAGACGCCAGAAGATAATTGGGAAAGAACATACGGTAGTAACATGTCCGTTTTGTTTCTGCGTTCATAAGTCGGCCTTTACGTCAATTTGAAGTGCCAAGGCGAAAAGTTAATCCGGTGACGAACGATGCTCTAAAACTCTGGTTGCTTGAGACTCTAAAAGGGCTTTAAAAATAAAGGATGAAGTTTTTATTTTAGTCCTTCGAAACGGTTCGAAGAAAAGCTCTTCCACTTTTCCGGCAAGCAGCGCGCACATTAAATTCTTTACGAACCCTTAGCGCAACCGGTAATAGTTATCTCCGGCGCAGCGTAGCTTTCGCCCTCTGCGCTTTCTTTTGTTCGAAATTACATTTTCTTCGGGTTAACGGCCAGACTGGATTTGCTGGCTGAAACATCGACCGATATTTTTCCTCCCTCCAATATATATGTACTCGCTCCACGGATCAAGCTGAAAAGGCTGCTAAACTACAAGGCAATTTTATAGGCACCGGCTGCTATAAACTCGTAAAAGTGTAATTCAATTCAACGACTGGGAACGAGGCCGTGTAACAATAAAATATTTATACGTAACAATGATGCATGTTGAAAATTCCTGTCGCTTTCTTATTTTTCTTTCGCGTAAATCTCATGTGAAATTCCCGCACCGATTGACGTATGTATCGATGTATATAAAACA